GCCGTATTATTCTCCCGCCGTTTTTAATTTCAATTGTAATTCATTCAGCCCTAAGTTGATTTTTATACACAATAATCGATGCCTCTGCATGCGCGTGAGCCTTACTGCATTAGAGAGAATTTTGCACATTTACGTTTGGCGATTAATAAATGGCACTTCTCGGATCAGATATCGATTAGAGAGTAAAATGTATTTACTGAAACATAAACGAACGGAGCGATTGCGCAGACGTTCGTTTGGCAAATTATTACTTTAGTCTTTACCTTCCTTATTTTCCAATGTAAATGTCATATTTTTAATATTGAAAGCAGCCGAATAATTATGATTAACAGCTTAATTAAGTTATAATTTAATGAAGTCGACTGGAGTAAATTTACATTTCCTACATAGATTTACCAGAAATTTATCATAAGTGCGCTTTCATAGCACGAATAACCTGCTTATTTTACTAAATAAATGAAGCGCGTTATTAAAGAAAAATAAAAAAGAAAAAAAAATCGTACATTCTCAAGGGCACGATTAGTAAAACCACTGCCATGATACTGAAATTATTCAGATAGAATAATTATTGTTTATTTAATTTGAACGGCCACGTGTTTATTAATTAATCAATTAAATAATTAATTAATTGATCGATAAAGTTAGGAGAAATCTCATAAGCTAACTCGTAATGTGGGTGAGGGGCACTGGGCTCGATCAGCTATGTCTTTTGCTCTTTATCACTCGGCGCATAAGTTGGGACGGGACTCGATAAGGAGACCAACATTAATTAATGAATTAACGCCGATAACCTCAAGGGAGGTCGAAAGAGAGCCTCTTGTATTTTCTATTTGGTTTTTATAATCTTGCTGCTGGCTCCACCATAGCCCCCTCCCTTCTCCTCGCTCTCAGCCCCCCCCCCACTTCCATCATCAGCGTCACACATTAGCGAAAAATTAAAAATCGTGCCGAAATGCATCCGCCACCGCGGCTCTCGCATAAGTACTAGTTCAATCAATCGATTATAATTATAATTCATGCGGTAGTAAGCTAGTAATTTTTAGCCATCTAATAAATATAATACATTGTTGCCGAGCAATCGATTTATCTCTTCCTTTATTTTCATTTGTTTCAGGTGCGATGCAACTTGGCAGAAGCGACATTAACTATGAGTTGAGGTCGCACCACTAATTGTAAGTACACTTGCATATTAGTTTGTTGTTTGTTGTTGCTAATTTGTAACGAATCGAGACGGGAGGTGATGTATATATATATATATATATATATATATATATACACATATATATATATTCCTCTGCTGCGACAATCGAGTGACTTGTTGCAACTCGAGATAAAACGTCGGCGGGCCGTCGTGCAGCTTAGTATGAAAGCCCCGCCGTCGTAATTATAATAACAACGATAAATAAAATAAATGAGCTTCTTTAGCCTATCGTAAGGCCTATAAACCGTCAACGATAAAAAGCTCATATATTTTTAAGGGAGGGATAATGCAGTAGCGCGCGTGCATTTGCATGCCCTGGCGTAGTTAGTTACGTCGGTTGGTACTTGGGCAAGTAAAAGTTGAATAGCGCCGAGAGCGCTCAATGTAATTTGAACATTGAGCGAGGGATAGCCACGGAGCGGCCATTACGATGTCCATTCTGCCCTTTGTAAAAACATCTGTCACTCGAGCAATAAGAAATAGCACGAGATAGTTCTCTCCGATATGACGCAATTACATGTCAAAGTGGTCTGACTCAACGAGTCCGCCTCTTGCCCCGGGACTTGATTACCCGCCGATTTCGCCTCATCGCCAAATTCCTCATATTCGTTGTCCGGGCGGGCGGTCGGTCGCATTGTACGGCGGCCCCTCGGTTGCCCCTGAGAGATTTTAATCGTCAGGTGCGACGGCCTCCTGGTTCCCCGCCGTGTCTCCGTGACGTCGCGCGCACAACACTCATTAAGTCCCGTCGACTGTTCTTACGTAATCACAAATACCGAAGCTTAGCCGGAGCCTCGGCCTCGCGGTGTCAGGCGCACGAGGGTCGGACGCAACTTTAATAAAGTTTATCGGGTCCGGAGCCGCGGCATTGGAAACTTTATGGGGTCGAGATCGGGACATGGGGCTACCGACTACTACCCGCGTTTAATCAATGCAATTAGGCCGAATAGACGGGAAACCCCCCCCCCCCCCCCCCCGACTCCCCACCTAAACCGAATTTTACGAAAGAGGTGTAGAGGAGAGTACTTTTTGTAATAATTTTTGTTGGGTCTGATCATCCTAGCGGTAATTAGTCGCATGCCCTTGGTACTTGGTAGCTGCGAGTTTCGCCTAAGTAAAATCGCTTTTCTGGCTGCTTTTCTGCCGTAACGCGGCCTCGCGGTGCATAATGTACGCGCGCACGTCCGCCGAGCACTCGATTTCAGCTATATACGCCTCTGCGACTCTCCTTTCTCTTGGTTGTCGGTATAATAGCAGTCGGAGAAAGAGGAGCGAGGGGATGGTTTTGCTCTGGCGGCTCGACTCTGTATTGATTGCCGCGCTGCGCTCGTCTCTCTCTCTCTCTCTCTCTCTCTCTCTCTCTCACTCTTTCTGTCTCTCCCATCTTCCCTCTACCCTCCCCCTTTCCCTCCTTCCTTCATTCTTACTCACTCTCCTACAATCTCTCTACTCTCTCTCTCTCTCTCTCTCTCTCTCTCTCTCTCTATATATATATATATATATATATATATCTTTTCTCTCTCGCTAGCTTGCTATATATAATCTTTTTCTCTCTGTTTCCCTTTGGCTTTGCGCCGCACTCCATCTTGCTTGGGCGAGCTAACCCGGCTCTTTTTCCTTCTCTCGCTCCCGACTGCCGCGTATCTTCTTTATTCGGGTCGCCAGCCACGCTAACTATAATGCCGCTGCGACGTAGAGCGACACACCGGGACCTGCGGACTCGCTCTTTTCCCTTCCCCCTCTTTTTCACTCGCTAGCTCACTCCGCTTCTCTCTCTTTCTCAATATCTCTCTCTCTCTCTCTCTCTCTCTCTCTGTTTCTCCCTCTGTTTATCCCTCTGTCTCTCTCATCCCTCTCTCCCTCTCTAACTATCTCTATCTTTTTTTCTTTCTTTCTTTCATTCTTTCTTTCTTTCTGTCTGTCTTTCTGTCTTTCTCTGGCATCGGCCTTCCAGGTTGGGTTCCGTGACGTTGCGCGCCAAGCAGCAATAATCCCGGCACAGGAGCGTCTCATTTCAGTTCACGTAAATATGACGTTCCACCGAAGAATCGAGCCGTAAGAACTCCTCCTCCACGATGCCGCTAATTAATTCCTCATCCGTGAATAGCAAATACGTCGGCTTGGTAGTCTCCGCGTTTCTTCCGAACGACGATCATTCTAATTTACCCGCGATTGAGCCTTAGCCATTGCATCTCTTGCGCATTTGCTTCCCTACTCTCCGAACTTTCTCATAGCACCTAATAACCTCGTTTGCACCAGTATTGGAGCTGGCACGCGTGGGTCAGGTGAATACGTAGCAAAGACTCGACATCCCCGAGATTCTCGCGCAACGGCCTTGAACTCTTGAGCCGCGGAGGCGTTGCTTTCGGCAAATCGCTATAGGCGTATCGTCTTGGCGCTCCTGCTCCATACCCCTCCCCCCCATATCGTCCCATCAACTTATATGGATAACATCGATAACCTGGTGGAAAGAGGTTGGAAAGCAGTTGGAAAACCGCCAATCGATTAACGAAACGAATCTACTAGCTCTTTTCCTCGCTAAGCGCGGATTGACGCTAAGATAGGCGCAACGGCCAAACCACTAAGACCTTTCGCGAAAGCCCGTCCGAGCTCCTTCAAACGCCGCCATTGAATTCCCCTCGTTCTCCCCTTTAAGTAATGGCACTCGTCTACCTTTCAATTTCACCAGTCCCGTACCTCGGAATGCAGGCGATTGCAAACAATTGGAAAAGAGGAGAACAAGCCGAAGGAGCGCTAGACTAGAGGACGAAACGCGATGTAACGTGGAGGGACGATGGAAGGGCTGGGAGAAGAGGTGCCCGTAAATCGTCCCAGGGGATATATACAAGAGTCTTTCCAATTTTTTTAAACTCGATCTCTCATTCGCGGGAGCTGGCTGGGGAAAAGGGCTTCGCAGAACTTATCCAATCTCGGATTCTTGCGCGAAAGGTATCGAAACGAAAGTGTCGTTCGAGCGGCAATTTGCTCTCGAATTGCTCGACAGTACATTTTAATTATCCTCGGAACTTGCCGAGTCTCTTGCTATTGCCAATGCCTTTAAAAAAAAAAAAAAAAAAAAAAAAAAAAAAGAAAAAAAAGTTT